TTTGACTCACTGAGCCAGTATTTCATTCTCAATGACCTCTACAAGGGATATTCTCACAGGACATGTTCTTTAGTCTGCACACGCAGCCTAAAATGACACAGTGATGAACTACTTAGAGGTAGCATGTGCATATGTTTGTTAAGTTTATGTCCTGTCCCTGAGGCGTAGTATAATGACCTGCCCATGCCGGTCAAGTAGGCTATGACAGTCATCTCTGGCGAGTTTGTTCACTAATGATGGCCTGGACGGCCCTTTTCTTTTCCTAGTAGTTTGTTACTGCATTTTTTCCTGTTCACATTCTACCCCTTTCTTAGCAAGATTATATGCGGTTTCGTTTCCTTCTACATATATGTATAGACCTATCGGATCTCAGGGGTTTTTGTTGGCCGCCTTTACTTTCCAGTCAATTTTGGAGAGAAAAATAACGCATTCGGGACGACAGACGAGTCTTCTTATTTCTTCTTTTCGATCGGTTGCGTACGCTCAGATCAGACCACCAGATGGGTTGCCTCAATGAACTCGCATGACAGTAGCAGGCACTTCATTGTTTCTCATAGCTTGCTCTGCACACTTTGCTCTTCAGACCAGGTTTCTTTTCGACGTTGTAGATAGAGTGGGCAAGTCTGCAGAATGTGTTCAGATGTTCGTGGTCCTAACAGGCACAATGTGTGGACTGTACAGTCTTTATTTTATGCATGTGGTAGTTGAGCCTGCAGTATCCTGTTCGTAGACATAAATTTGTTGTATTTTGCTTTCTGTTGAGTCTGCTGATGGTGTCTTGTGGATATTTACTGTTGGTTTGTTCTCTCAACAATTTTTGGTATTTTCCCTTGATCAGTGTTTTGATTTCTGGTAGTGACGATGAACAGCTGTGTTGTTTTTCCAAACTGTTTTTTCCTGTGTGACTGCACATCAGTCCCCTAGGCGACTCAGAGGGATCCACGAGACAACATGGAGAAGGAACTGACTCGCTAGCTAAAAAGACTAACAGAAAACAATCAAAACGCTCTTCAATGGATCCCGGCTTACTACGGCATACCCGGAAATGAGTTAGAGGACAGACTTGCAAACAATGAAACAGAGGAAAAATAATAAGAAAAAGATTCAAGACTAAGACATAAATCAAACACCAACGTACTACGCCACCGTAATTCACCCCCCCCCCTCTCATACCTAAAAAGGTTGTTGCGTATCCTTTACAGGACGTTGCAGAACCAACCCTAACAGCCCCTGGCTGTTGTGTGGTTTCTCTAGGCAAATTACGTCCAGTAGTTTGCCATTGCTCTCTGGACGGTCGGCTTTCTTAATACCACTGTCGAAACCAACGCAAGGCGCATTGCCCGCAGCTGGGATCGAACCCGGCATCCCGGCATTACGAAGCGAAGTGTTCGCATCGACTTAGCCACAGAGACGACCTCTCACACCTACATGTCACTAATTTAGTACAAGTCTTATAAATAAAATATATATATATATATATATATATATATATATATATATATATATATATATATATTTATATATATATATATATACACACACATATATTATAAACAACCTATGTTATATAGACGACACTGTGCCGACAGCTGAATGATGCACACAAGATCTGCAACAGATGTTGGCGATTGTATTAATATAGAGTGTATGAAAAGACGCTCCCTGAATATCTTTAAAACAATATCGCTCCCATATATTAGTAGAAGGCCATTTCACCCCAGTGGCGCATATAGCAGATGGTGCTATATATATTTGATATATCACTGAGCATTCTTTCTTATTGTTTTTTGTTGTGTTTGTTCTTCTTCTTCTTTACGTTCACCGGTGGTAAATTCCGGTGGAGATTTCTGGTTGTTTGTCCACTTCTGAACTCCAGTCCTTTTTCAGAAACTGAGTGTTGCGTGCTCATCTGTTTTACAGGTCTGACTCATTACCAATTAGTCGATTCTTACGACATGCTTTTTGGGCAGGCATTTGATCTATTCTTATTTTTCCTTACCCGGGAACCACACGAGGAACAAAGTCTATCATAATCACAGCCTAAATCCAAGCCCTATTTAAAACAATAGAAATTACTGATATGCTTAAAAAAAAAAAAAAAACATGATACATAAAATAACAAATATTTACTCTGAGATATCGATGAGATGAAATACTTTTGAAGAGCAGCAGGAATTTCAACGAAAGACAGAATACAAAATCACACGAATGCTAGGAATAAAGCCAATCTTACAAAGAACAACAAATGAAGTGGTTTGGACACATAACGAGAATGCCCTGGTACTATCTGCCACAGAAAGCCACACTAAAACGTTACAACGGGTATAAAGCGAGTGGAAGACCTCGGATAACATAGAGTGATGGCATTAAGAACACAGCCTTACAGAAATGAACATCTCTCCTAATAGTGCTCTTAACAGAGCTCATCAACGAATATTACATCTCCCCCCCCCCCCCACACACACACACACACTTCGCTGAGGTACACGGTGGAAGAGAAGAAGGAAGAGAAGTTAAAATTGTTTTATAAAGACTGGATAACATTCACCTTTTTAACAAATCTATTACGTAATGAATGACGTTATTACACGCATGCGCAGTCAAACAGGACACGTTAGTGCGAAGACGAAGTCGATTTGTTTCTCGCAAAATCTTGAACGTCACATCTATCTGGTATGTTTACAGTTTATTACTATAATTTGACTTTTAGCCAGACATTTATGACAGCGCATAGTACACCAGTTTTTACTGTACATTAATGTTGTTTTATGTGAATGCTAAAATTAATTCATTTGTTCTGCAAGGCTGACTTGTACTTGCTTGTCTTCGGATCGCCATCTTGTATTTTCTTCAGCGTGGGCTAGTACAACAATACAAATTTGATACAAGAGAACTTTACATATTATTAGCTAGTGATATTGTTTTTGATTGTCTGTGCACTGTTCAATATAGTTTATTTACATTGTCACCGTAACGGGTAACTAACAGTTTGACGCAAGTGGTGGACTACTAAAGTATAGGAATATTTTGGGGCTATCATAGCTATGTATTCAATTGTATGTGCCAGCGCAAACTAAACCCGGCCATTTTGTGTAAATGGCGTGGGCTAAAGTGATACTACTGATACGACACTAAAAGAGACCGGATTTAGGTTAACAACTGTCATATCTGCATTTTTTTTAGATATTGCACGTAATTTTGCAACCACACAAGCACTGTTGATATATTTAGCGTGTTTAGTAAAATATGCAGTTTCTGAAGTAAGGAGTGAGGTCAGTTATCAACTTGATAGATACTTTAGTCAAATTTTTAAAATGCTCTCTACACCAATAAAACCAGCACAGTTAGATAGCTGTAAACAATCTCTTTCCAATGGTACCTCATTTAGGCTTGTATGTCATTTCTGAGCTGAGATATGTAGGTTTTTGTGGAGATGAGATGTAAAAAACAGCTGCTAAAACTTGTGTCTGAGAAACAAGAAGTTTTCTCTGCGCAACCAAACTGTGCAACTTTCGTTTTGGCTTTGTTTTCATGGGACAAGATGGCAGGACAATTTTTCTCAGACACAGCCACATATTAACGATTGCCTAAAAAATGTCACTGTACATCTAAACAGCCACAGACAAGAAAGAAATTGTATACACAAATGTAAAATTGGACGGAGAATTCAGTTATAACTAGTATTACCATGTCTAGTAATGTTTAAAGCCTAAAGCCAACTTTGAACACTTATCGCTATTTTCAATCAAACTGATGTAACAGAAAAACAGAGGACGTCCGGCTGTCGTACACATGCGCTGTTAATCGGGTTCCTTCCTGCCGTTTTCAGCTTTTTATAGTGGGTGAAAATCACACCAATCGCAAAATTTCATGAGAGATTAGGACCCATCCCGAAACCCCAGCCGACATTTGCGAAGCAAGTTTTGAACGGTTTCCATGGTAGCGGAAATTGCAAAAAGACCGCCAATTGCCGAACACCGTAGTCGCTAGTTATCAACGCTTTTAATTTTATCCTTTAAATTGAATTTAGGATTTTTCGTTGTCTTAATGAATGACTTATTTATTTAAGTAGTTGTGGCAAGATTGTAAAAGATTAACAGTTTCTTTTCAATACCATTCACAAATAATCCCATTTTTCTTGTTTTTCATTTTTTTCTATTCTGCTTATTGAATGCTCAAATGGTAACTACCACATTATGAATTATGGAAAAGTTATGCCAGTAAAATGTCATTTGAAAACTACATTGTTAGTTTTGTGTGTGTGTTTGTCTAGTCATTTTTGCAATTTTCCCGTGTTCCCACACACACGTTTCAATTATGGCTCTCCTTTAAATAACGGTTGCTAGGTGAAAGGCGACGGCCGCTTAGTCGGAGTTCACTCCCTTCGCTGCAGTGCAAGTACGGAGCGGACAAGTCACGAATCAAAAAACAGTGAGGTCGACATGCCTGCTAGAGCTAGACCACGCGCTAGAGCTAGATCATAGTAGCGACCGAGGTCTTGCGACGCAAGACTCATAGACCACGCGCTGCGACTCACATTAGCGACCGCGTTCTTCCGACGCACGACTTAGTGACCGTAGATGTGAGATCTGCGGCTCTGTATGTCGTAATGAGCGATAAACGTCCGTCGTTTCCGTGATGTGTCACCCTACCCCTAAACCTACTCCAAAACCTAACCCTGCCCCAAATCCTAACCAATGCCCTAAGCCTAACCCTAGGATGACAGGTAACTATTTGTTTCGTTCCCTCTTTACCACTCCTTATTTGCACTGCAGCCAAGGGAGTGAACTCCGACTAAGTGACTGTCACCTTCCAGCTAGCGACTGTTATTTAAAGCAGAGCCGAATTATTTTAATTGAGCTAACATCCTGTTCCTGAGCTAAGTTTCCTGAGTTACTGTTTCTTGACACTATGAAATCAATTTGATAATAGTATATGTAATTTCAGTTTTATTTGTGTGTATGCAGTAAAATATAGTTTTTTCTATGACTTTAGATACGATGAACAGAAATCGCCAAGGTAGAGATCGTCGCAATTACGGTATGATTTAATAGCTTTTTTAATATCTCTACCAACACCCATTTTTGTCTGTTTCATTCTTGAAAACTTTTAAAGTTGAATATATTCCTGAACTTGAAAATCTATATATATGAACATCTAATTAAGATTTTAACACCTGTGTTTATTATACTTATTCATCACAAACAAATGTAGATAAGTGTCCTGTCACTGTTTCAAAAATTTGGTAAGCGTTACAAGTTTATGAACATTGTTTGTTAGTTTTAACTGTACAAGTTAGGGTAATTAAGCTTTGAATTTTTATAAAATTTTGTGTTTTTTTATGCTTTCAATTCATTAGGTGGTTTCCTGTTTTCTACAATTTTTTGTGTGTAAAATTGCATTGATGCTGCAGAAAAAGATATCTGATGTAATTGCTGCATGTAAAAAGACTCCTTTCTACACCTGAGTTGCTTGGGCCTGTGGTTACCGGTGTGTAGTGAACCAAAAATTTTATTGATAATGTGGCAGTCTCACTGCTTCACAGCCCCATCTCTTCCTAAATTTGCAATCTCTAAGGTCTTTAGTTTTATCTAGATTACACTAAAATACCTTCCCTAAATCTTCTTTGAACTATTATTTAGATCTTTAAAGCTTTAACCATATGTGCATTTGTCACTTTTGCTGGTTTATTGATTTGCCACACTGAAGGATCATTTATGTGAATTGAATTCTGTGACTTTGTTTTCAGGAGGTGGAGGCGGAGATGGACTCTTGGGGGAAGGCCCTGGTATGGGTAGTTTGTTTGAGCCAATGGGCAACCCCCAGGTGAATCAGCTGTTAATTGCCCAGCAACTGTTGCAACAACAAGCTGCCCTGGGTGGAGCTGGTGGCTATGGAGGCGACTATGGTGGGCTCGGAGACATGGGAGGGCTTGGTGGTATGAACTACCTCCAACAAGGAATGGGCTATGGAGGATACAGTAATGATCGCAAGAGATCTGGCGGGCAGAGCAGAGATTCTGACTACAAGCGGAGGAGACGAGATTCATCTGGGGTGAGAAACAGTGTCTTTTTATAACCTGCAGACCTTTAATGTGATGATGGTTCCAAGTTTCTTCACCTGAATACCTTTTTGATTCTGTATATCTGCTGAGCTGTTAATTCTTAGCATTTTCCTGGTGTGCTGATTCAGCAAGTTTGTCACAAGCCAGAATGTAGTTTCTAAGAAACTGGTTTCATCAGGTACGGAAGAAAGTATCTTGAAAGGCCATGTGCAGTTTAGTCTAATCTCATTATTAGTTTTTTCATACTCTAGTGCTCTGGGTAAGTGCTGTAGTTACCCTCTGTATATCTGTTTGCTTGCTATGTAGCAGTAAGGTCGACAGTGAGTATAAATTTCAGTGTACCTAATTTAACTGATCCCATATATTTTGTTGAGAGATAACTAACACCTAATATTAATGAGTATGAAGACATTTTAATAAGAAATTTAATGGGCAGCTTTGAACATATGAGTCGAATGCACAGCATTGTGTACCTGTAATGCTGTAAACATATACACCCGTAGTGCAGTAGATGAATGTAACTATATGGCAGTAGGCAAAGATATTTCAGCCATCGTATATTTAACTAAAAACAGCATCGTTCTAAAACACACCAAAAAAAAAAAAATTTACCGTAACCGCCAGTTTTGTGATTAAAAAAATGTTTCAGTAAATTTACCAAATAAATTGTAAAATATTTTTAATTTATCCATCATTTTTCATCAACTTAAGTCATGTTTAGTTACACAGCATTCTTCACTTGATGATTACTACTTCAGATTATCCTTAATCTCACGATATTTTGTCCATCTGCCAACTATGCATTCTAGAGGCAAACATGGAATTATCAGATTCCTTATTTACAGAGATGTTGTAAGCACATGTTCTTGTGTTCAGTTCACAATACAAGCTATCAGCTGCTAGTCAGGTTTATACATTTTCATGTACACTTCATAATTTCAAGCAGAGCTGCAAGCTCAATTCATTGAATTTCAAGAGAAACTGTATTTTGCTGTCCACGATTCAATGATAATTTTCCCTTCCATACTTCTCTCCCATTCATGGGCCACCATTGTTCCTTTCATCATTCTGGCCTGGATCTGCAGAGAAGTGATCGAGATCGTTCTCGTGGCCGAGACAACAACAGGAGCAGTGAAGGCAAAGATAAAAATCGTTCTAATCGTTGGGATTCAGGTAAACTTTTCTCAATTTCTCTGAAGTTGCTGCAATTTTCTCATTGCCAGCACTTTCAGCAAATTATCAGCTTTCTGTTCTTTCTCTTCTTCTCTGTCACCTGTTTGTGTCTCATAACTCCTTTCTTGTCTTCCTATATGCTCTTGAACAAGCTTCAAACAAAGATTTGTTCAAAGTATATTCTCCTGGGCTCTAGTCCCACTAACAGAATTTTTCCTCCACTTCCAGTACTTGCCAACAAGTATTCATTTTTGCAAATTTTCGTTGAGCTGCCCTTCACTCCACACATAGCGCAGCTTTAGACTTCAGAATATCATCTCTGACAGTATTTTTTTTTTTAGCTTAGTAGATGTGCCACAAATAGGAATAGAAAGCATGCATGTCTTTCATAAACAAGTATACTTCTTTGGATGTAAGTGGAAATGTCAGAATAAATCGCTTGAATAATAAATCACTTTTGGATTTAGGCATTTGACAGACCAGCAAACGAAATAGTTATATTAAAATCACTTTAGTGAAACTACACAAGTGGTAGCAAGCGGTTAAATTTTTGATGATTTGGGGTCATAGTGTATGCTAAAATTGTGACACATTCATGCCACAGGTTTGTTTTATCATTTTTAGAAGTAGAGTGACGTTAAATTTTTAGAGGTTATTTCCTAATTTTCTTCAATCTTGAAGCTGTTGGCAAGTATGCAGTTCTACAATAGTCTTTTTACTACTGCAAATTTATATCTTGTCTTGTCTTTTTCTGATTAATGCTTATGTTGAGAATTCTGGGGAGGTGAGGGAGCCTGTACTGGTAGCTAGTTCTCATGAAGAGTTCAATTAGATCAGCATGTCTGAAGTCACCAGCTGAACGTTTCTGCCTCAGCACGTTGAAAGTGCCAGCTTTCCTGTGATGTATGGAAGTTGCATGTTTCTGATGAGAGCATTCTTTCAATATTTTCATGTGGCAGGCTGAATTAAAAGAATCCTCAGTGTATTCATATTATATTAAGCTCTCACTGTTAAAGCATTGAAGGATTCTCAGTGTAGTCACATTATATTATTAGACAGGTGCCTTTCAGTAGGAATATCTTCAGATCATGTAGTCACCTGTAATGTTGTTTAAATACTTAAACTCATTTGTGACATCCAGAAATCTTCAGCTTGTACTGTGGACTTTTTCAGACAAGGATCAAGAGGGAGAAGAGAAGACTGGAGATAACTATGATCCAGCAGAGCCAACAGAAGATGATGTAAGTAACCTTGTCCTTTCTTGTCTGGTAACTTATCTATGCATTGCTGTCTCATGACTCTGGTTTCGTCATGTTTCTGTCTGGCTTCTTTATCATGGCCTGTTTTGACACGTGTATAAGCCTGGTAGTGTGGTTGTAACATTTATGGTATGTTTTAGTACACATCTTGTACATGCAGTTGACAAGATATGAAGTGCCTGCCACCTATTCCAGGGAACTTGGTAAAGGTGTTAAATATTGATAGTTGGCATGTTTTTTATTAACATAAATATATTGCAATTTACAGTGCTAGGGAACTTGGTAACGGTGTTAAATATTGATAGTTGGCATATTTTTTATTAACAGGAATATATTGCAATTTACCGTGCCAGGGAACTTGGTAAAGGTGTTAAATATTGATAGTTGGCATATTTTTTATTAACAGAAATATTTTATGACAATTTACAGGGACAAAGCAAGGACAAAGATGGCAACTTGTATTGCCATGTGTGTAATGTATCTGTGTATGATGATGAGAGTTTCCGTCGGCACTTGAATGGCATGAAGCACACCCAGCGCATGAACAGCCTGCTGACAGTGCACCAGATGAAGAGCAACCAGCTTAAATCTCGCATCAGGGCAGAGGAACATTTGCGCAAAATTGAGGGCAAGAATTCTTCTAGGTTGGTTATTGTGTGTGATGCTGTTATTCTTTATCTTTGAGTTAACTGACTGTAAACCCCAGCAAAATATTATGGTTGTTCTGTACTTTGAACTTGTTCTATAGCCTGAGTCTTTTATGCACATCTGTTTACATGTCTGGCTTTATTGTATGCAGATTTTTGGTTTCTTGCCTATAAGGCAGTTGTGCTTCAAAGGAAACCCCTAATTTGTCATCTGTTACCATACACTTGTAAGGAGGCAGTGGTCCTGTAACCTACACAGGGGATTGCTGTGATTGAGTCTCATGTCCTATTTAAAAAGACCCTCTGGCCAATTAGTGTTAGACGTTTGTAGAACAGTCAACACTCCATGGGTAATGTGGTCAGCGTAGTGTCAGCTGCCTGTACCTCCGATTTCTTGCTAGCATCTATTTGAGGCTGTGTTGGCTGGGGCGCAGTAAGTGAATTATGAAGATCCATTGTTGGGTCTCAGTGGTGACTATTCAGCTTTTTTTTTTTTTTTTAGTACCAATCGTGTTTATAGCTTTTTTTTTTTTAATTTCTGACAGGTTTAGAAAGTATATTGGTAATTATTTATTGAAAAACTATATTGTATTATATATATTTTCACATAATCAGAATGTATCTTTTAAACTTTAAATTTTTGAATTTATATATAGATGACATATGTGTGTATTCTTCCCACACTTCAAAGTAGTAGACTGTGAATTGAAAAATATTGATTTTTAAAATTATACTCTGACGTTCAAACTGTTTGGTGTGTATGTGCTAGTGAGAGACCCAGTCAGTGGCCAGCATCTGTTTGTCTGTGGCACCTGTAACAACTACCTCAGAACCATGGAATATAATGTAAAGGAGTTGGTACTTCAGAAAGTACATTACATCATTCTTTAATGTGTTTTTTTTTTTTTAGTGGCACTGGCGGCAGTGATCCAGACTTCTTCTGCAAGATTTGCAACAACAGTCTGACTATCCCGTGGGAGAGACATCGGTTCTCCAACATCCACAAGGTAATGCTCTGGGTTATACTGACTTTATTTGTTTCGTTTGTGCGCTTTAAATATTTGTAGTTGGAGTGGGCAAAATCACAGCAGCTGCTTTCCCAGAGCCTATTTCAATCTGTGTTGACATGGAAATAAGGTGTTCAAAAATGAATATAGGGCGGAATTCTACTGTTCTTATTTTTAACCCGGCTGTAGGTGTATAAAAGTGTGATCAGATCTTATATGGGGGATCCTTCTAGAGCAGAGTGTAAGCAGTTGAGCTGAAAGCCCCATAGTTTGCTCCACTAGTGTGGCTATGTTGTAAGACAAGAGAAAAGTTGTAATTGCAACTATGGTTCTTCTTTGTTCACCTGCTGTAAGCTCCAGCAAAAAGTCCTGGTTGTTCGTCCATTTGGACTTTGGCTTTGTACCAGGACCTAGGTTTTGAGTGTATATCTGGTTTACTGATTTATTTGTGTGCTGATGTTGTTCCTTGCCATTGGGTAGATGTACTCCGACTTCGAAGGAAGTCCCCAGTTAGTTAGCTTCTATGATATGTTTGCTGGAAAGGCAGTGGATTGGATCTATACTTGTTTTACCCCACAATGGGGCCCTGGAACCTCAGGCTTTGGAGCAGGGCTAGAAGTGGAGTAACAACCAGAACTTTCTATCAAAGTTCTAGTGAATGCAAAGAAGAAAAAAGCACAGTAGACCATTAAGGTTTTGGAAGTATTTTTGTGTGTGCATGGAGTATTTCAAGAGCACATAATACTTGCTTGTTTTTCCTCACTGCACACATTTGAAGGTTCTGTTTTATGTATTTTTCATCCAGCAACGTCAGCTGCAGGTTAAAAGAGGCTGTGGATGGTGTAAGGTGCATGACTTCAGCAACTTCACAGAGGTTCTAGAGCATCGGGAAACTGAAGAGCACAAGAAGGTGAGAAATCTCTGCTGGTTAATGTTTGTGGATAAAGGCTAAAGTCGCCAGTTCTTGTCCAGGGCAACATATGAAGAGAGTAATTTATGTTCCTAATCGGCAGTCATGATTTCCTGTCTCACACAATAACCAGAATCACAGATCAAGTCTGTGGTCATACATGTAGCCAGCAAATGAGGCATCTCTTTGACTCGCCGTGTCATACTGTGTATAATGGTCATAAAATGTACAGCACATTTTAGATTGCAGTCGGGAAAGAGAAAAAAAACTTTTGTTGGCACCTTTGCAGATGGTTGCATTCTACTGTGGCATGGGAATCAGACCATGGCGATATCATTTAAGGCCAAAGTGATGCCATTTTGTTCATGCAATAAGATTTGTCTTGTTCACTCTAGAGGTAAGGTGACACCAGTATTTTGCAACATAGCATGCTTCATAATGCAGTTAGCATGGCTTTTTCTTTGCGAAAGCTTTACTCCTAGATCTAGCTGTCAACCTGCGATGAAGGTCTGTTCTGCTAAATAAGATTTCTATTTAAACATTCATTGGGAGACAGATATTCAGAAGTCATCGAGGCAGAACAAAGGCTGGAATCATCACCACTTGTGCTTATTGCTGTGGCGTGTGATAATTATGACAATATAGACATTTCTTATTTACACCCAAAAAAATAACAGGATTGTTTGTTGTTTTTGGCAGTGTGTTTTCACTTCTTGAGTAGTCATTGGGAAATTGGATAAAGAAATTAACATTAGATGCAGTAAAGCAAACCAAGTATTAGGACAGCTAGCCCCCCTCTTACAGCATAAGACAATCCCAATCAGCACAAAGAGACATCTTATTCAAAGCATATTTATTCCAACTCTGTGCTACCAGTGCCAGACATGGTCACTCACAACAAACCATAAAAGAAAATTATAACCACGGAAATGAGATGTCTGAGAAGGGCTGTAGGAGTGACCATAAGAGATAAGATCAGGAATGAGATCATAAGAGAACAAGTCGTCACAGAACCAATTCTGGATTACATACAAAGACTGCAAGTGAAATGGTTTGCCCACTTAGAGAGAATGCCTTGTGACACCATATCATACAAAGCATACATGGAAAGAGAAGAAGGACGTAGAGCACAAGGTAGACCAAGAACAAGATGAAAGGATAACATCAGAGAAACTCTACAACAGCACGATATGCCTGTCGTCGAGGCAGCCAGAAGAGCTAGGGACAGAACCTTTTATCTCCCTCGACACCCACAGCGGTAAAAGAGGAAGTGAGGAAGAAGAATAGTCGTCATGACCAGAAGAAGTGACATTATGTGATCTAAAATGTATTCCTCTGAGCTACATTGTGATAAATTGTCACTGTTTTGATATTGTTTAGAATGCTGATATCTATGGCAAGAAGAGGGATGACAGATCCAGAAGTAGAAGCAGAGATCGAGATGTGAGTTCATTCTGTCAACCTGTCTTTGTGTTGTATTTAGTGATGTTTTTACACTAATGCGGGTGAGGTCCGTCCATTTAGTTTTATTTCTGTAAGCTGTCACATCATTGAGTATCCTGGGAAAACTTCTTTTTTCAAATAAGCAGATGTCTCCAGTTATAGGGTCTTGTTTCAGCAGTTTTATCACATCTGTGCATTTAAAATTTTTCCTCTTAAGCTTGTATGGTTATTGTTCCATTGCTAGATTGTTTAATACTACAGTTTAGAGTGACCTAGTTTTTTTTTATTCTATCTTACAGGACAATTCTGATACGGAGGATCTGGATATTCCAGAGTTTAATGCAGAGAATCCAGTTGGTAAGTTGCTCACTTGTAATTAGACAGCAGTTTTATAGCTCTTTTAGACCCAAAAATTTGAGTCTCAGTTGGGGCCAGTTTCCCTGTAAAAGCTGCTTTTTTGGCTCGCTGTAGAATGAATGAACTTTATTTTCAAAGGGTCACAAATTGGGCACACAGGCCCGTCTTACATTCGGCCCTTCCAGTATTTTACTAATAAAGCATGTTATGATGATATGAATATTGTAAAAGAACACAAAAGCATGAGTTGTGCATGCAAAAACCTGCGGTGCATACACACACCCATATACGTAGAATGTTTATGAGACGTCTAGTTAACAGAAGGAATGGCTAAATTTACTTACAAGTATTAGAGGGGTTTCCTTGACAGAAAATTGATCATCTCTTTTATAAATAGAAATTTGGTCTTTTCCCCCTATTGGTTACAATAGTTACCGGGTCACGGGTAAAAGTAAGTGTCATCCTGTGAATTATCAGATTAGTGTTTAATACTAGAAATGATATTTGAAAAGTTGCTAGATGTAAGTTGGGTACATATTTACTTGCTGAAATAAAATTAAAATTTTTTTTACTTTTCCTTTAGGTGTGAAGTATATCATTCCGGTGACTGGGTACTTCTGTAAGCTGTGCCACAAGTTTTACAACAATGAGAAGTCTGCCAAGGGCTCCCACTGCCAGAGTGAGACTCACTATGAGAAATTTAAGGTAGGTTTTCTGTCTGGTATGTTTTTAGTTCCCTGCTTTGTTAGAACTTGGTTGGGACAGACCAGCTTCTGTGGTAGACCGGAAATATAAGATTATGTATAGCGGCTAGACGCTTGTGTGCGTATCCGAAGGTCTTGGGTTCAATTCTGACCGGTGTGGGGATTATTAAAAAATGAGCTTGGTTGTTGTGCTGACTTTGAATGGGTACCAGGTAAGTCTTTGAAGTAAAGGTGGCCAGCTTGATGCTGACCTCATATCCCAAGTGAAGATTGATTTAGAAAGCAAGGTAATGAGGTCTAGTCCTTCATGCCCAAATTGCCATGAGGCGTGAAAAATGGTCCTTTGCTTATAAGCATAAGCAAGGTAAAAGATTCCAAATATATGTTCTTCTTTGCGCCCTCCCTCGTGTGTGTTCCTTGAAACCGTCTTTGCAATCCAATCATTTTTCACCATGTGCCCAACCCAAGCTAGCCAGCATTTCATCTCTGCCAGGAGAGGCTTCTGTTGATGTCCTGCAAATACGTATTTTTTGACATGTTTGTTAGTTTTGTAATTTGAATAACTTATTTGTAAAATGCGTCTATAGCAGTAAATTTGAAAGCCTGAATCCCCACTTTCCATAGTGATTAAATGAAGTTGTACCTTTATCTCTACAGGCCGCTACAGAAGAGAAGATAGCTGCTCGCGAAAAACGTCTGGCTGAGAAAGCTGCTGCTGCTGAAGCGGCTGCCTTAAAAGCTAAGGAAGAGGAAGAACAGTTGAAAGAAGACGTTAAAGATGAGGAGATGGAGGACACTGAAGCTGCTAGTAGCAAGCAGCCTGCAGATGATGGTCATGACTACAATGATGAGCTTCCATTAGAGGATGTCGACAATGAAGGCGGGCTGACCAAGGAGGGGGACTACAGCCTGGGCTACTACGGCACAGCTGATCAGAGCCACAATGACACAGTAGAGAATTACGAGACTCCAGATACCAGCTATGTTGCTATCCCGGTGGACACATCCGAGGGGGAATATAAGCCGTTCCCTGAGGGTGAGTATTTTCCTTAGGTTGACTTTCTTGTCTGTGAATTTTGTAACTGTTAAATTAATATTAATTGGATTAGACTTTGTCTGGAATCAGATATGGCAAAGGAAAAACCAAGTCACATTTTTGTTCCACTTACATGCTTGGTGCAGCCATGTGAGCTGTGTTATTCATGTGGAATACCTTTCATTTGTGTAGCAATTAAATTGTAGTGTTTAGTGTAGCCGGTTTACATGTCGGCTGGTAATATACCAAGCTACTTCCATCGACAAACTGCACTTCTGGTGGTGACTTTTGGCTTTGGCCTCTAGCAACTGCCATGTTCATTTACAGCAAGCACTTTTTTTTGGATTTTTCCGGGATTATTTTGTACACCAATTTTTCGAATGCAACAAGGAGGGACATATTATTCAATTTCCACGGGCACAGCTTTCACTTTCTGCAGCACAAAAACATCCTGCATAACGCCAGGAGTCATTATGTTCACTGTTTTATATTAGCAAGCATTCATGATTTTAATTATTTGCTTTCACATTTAGACATTGGGTGGGGAGGAGGAGGATCATTTATACTTACACACATTTACCTGAATAGTTGTTTCTGTCATTGTCTCATGATTATTTTCCCCCATATATAAAATTGCCCAAGTGGTGGAGATGAGGAACAAAAGGCCTGAGGGCAGGACTGCTTATAGAAAGAGAACAAGCGTTTTAAATTGACGTGCATGTAATTTTCTTTTCACAGACAAAAGTTTGGAGTCTTTTGGAACTCAAGATTCAGCTGATGTGAATGCAAGCAGTTTGGAGGATGCTGCCATTGATGTGTCTACACCAGCTGCCAAGGATAAGAAAGACACTGATGAGGAGGACACTGATGAAGATGCAACTCCAACAGTAACCCCTAAGAAGGCCAGGGGTGGCACCGCCAGAAGGGGGCGTGGCAGGGGCAGAGCTAGAAAGTGAGGCCACAAGCTGAGGTGAAGGCACCTAGAAGTCCTAATGTATTGTCGTTATTGTTCTGCTACTGATGCCTTCATAAGCTGAAGTTATTTCTTTGTCTTTAAGTATCATAGTGTTGTTCATTCTTTGTTTAGTTCCTTATTGTGCATGTACATTCTTCCTTCTGCCTAATTGTAGTCATAAGCCATTGTTTCAGCTTTTTATTTTTTTAAATGACTAATTTGGGCTCAGCCTCTGGTGAACATTAGTTTGCTCACATTGGAGAAGCAGGCCTGATGTTTTTAAGTTGTCTGTTGCTCCCAGTGATGAAGTAGGCCTGTTGTTTTAAGTTGTCTCTTGTATAGTCAGGTTGTTTTACTGCACAGGGGAAGCACCTACTGGCCATACAGTTTGCATGTTCTTATACAGAACTGTCTGTTCTGTCACCTGCACTAGTGGTTGATTTTTATAGATTAGACATGTCATTTAACTCTTTTTTTTCCCCCCATATTTAATTGCTACTATGAACAACAAACACCACATATATTTACCTTAATTGTTGTTTCTGCCACTGTCACATGATTATTTTTTCCAAATATTTTTCTGTAGCCAAAATTATTTAAATGCTTATCTTTTCAATGGAACAATATGCCACTTTTAATGTGGATCAACTCTTTGAGTCCACTAAAACTCATCAGTAAGAGTTATAAAATATCAGGGGTGGCAATGAAATATGTTTGTGAAAAGCTTTTACCACCTCTGTGAGAACAAACAGCTGGGATGGAAGCTCAGATGATGATATTGCTGATACAGGACACCTGAAAAAAGGATGCATTTGTTTGTGGAAGTCTGTTAGATGTTATAGAAAGTTAGTTACTTCAGTGAGAGCTAAAAGATGTATTCAGTCTGTTGGCTAAAATGGAGGACGCAGTTACAAATGTAATCATTGTCTCCACAGAAGGGAGTACAGTTTCTTACATAGACCTGATGTTATATAGTTTTAACTAACAGGTTGCATACAATAAACCTAATACTTTAAAACGTTTGTGCAAGTAGCTGTCAAGGTCTTGAACAAAGACTGAAGTCCAGAAGTGGACGTACAGACAGAACTTAGGCAGAGTTTACAGCCAGCTAGTGTATGCAATGAAGAAGAATAGTTTTGTTTACTTTTTGTGTTCATCTTAAATGTTGTCACCAGATGCAAGTCATCTACGTCCTGGGTTCAATAAAAATTCTCATAGTGAAATAATGCAGTTGTTTGTCCTTTATGGTTCTGATGAAGTGGTAGGAAGCTGCTTTGAGAGTTCTTCGTCTGTTTGCCCGCCTAAAAGAGTGGTTGTGTTGTGGTTTACAGCAAGGCTATTTGCTCAGCCAAAAACATCACAAAATTTTTTTTTTTTAAGAAATGCTTATTCCAGGGCAGACTGAGTTTCTGGAACTGGATTTAGGGAGAATATGTCATATTTTCTGGAAACAATTCTGGCAAGTTTCTGAATTAAAAAACAGATTTGAAAAAATTAAGCCGCGTTAAAAGACACTTTCCCAAACTATACTGAGACAAGAGGTAGACTGTCAACAACTGAAAGGATAACATCAGTAAATGGATGAACAGCAGTCTGATAAAGTGTACTGTCAAGACGGAGTTTCTTTTGGCGACAGTATTATCCATGCGGCCCTAAATCATGGGACACGCACCACCCCCTCCCCTCCCGGACTGCATCTGTGGTTAATACATTAAAAATTGAATACAGTAACGGCAGTATTGTTTGAGAACAATTAACCTGCAAGTGTAATGGTTGACAATACTATACTGAACTCAACATATTTATTGTGCACTCACCTCAACCAAAATTCGGCTTTATATTTTCAAATGCATCCCTTATAAATGACGACAAAAAACTCAGCGTAACACTTTTTTTTATAAATGAGTTGGGAATCTATTGCAGCCAACTTTGTTTGTGGATATGGCAGCTGATTGGTTGACACTAAAGAGCAGCAGGTCTTGTTTTCCCTGCCATAATGGGGCCTCAGAACCAACACTGGGTTTTAGTCCATGGATATGTCAACAAACTGCTTTCTCCCTCTACCGGGGTCTTATGGTGGGGAAAACGAACAGAGCCACTGCCTCCCAAGTGTGTCGTGAGAGTCGGCTAATTTGAGGCTTTCTTAGAGTCTGAGTGCATCTGCCTGTTGGGCAAGGAACCTGCATACAAATGAGCAAGATTTGACAAATGAATGCACACACAAAACTCTGGTCCTGGAACAGTCTAAAATAGACGAACAAACTGTTGCAAATATGTTTCTGAGTCTGGGGTTGATGAATATAATTTCATAGATTTTCTAATTAATTAGAGATGTAACCATTTCTGCTTGCTTTGTTCTTTTCTCATCTGTTGGGTTTATTTATTAACGCTGTGGCGCTAAAGTGCATGCTTGATTTTATTTCCTAATATCGACTTTGATTCACATTAATTTTAGTAACATTTTCATGTCGTTACTTGTGATTTTTGTTTCTGCAGACAAATACCTCTTTATGTGTGTTTTTCCGGTGGAATGTTTTTTTTGTCTCTGCCATGTCGCTTAGCCACACACTCTTCAGACATGTGAGGGCCACAGAAAACAAGGCCAGCCATGTAGTGGAAAAGGGGGAGGGGAACAAATATAAATGTTGACGAGTGTCAGAGCAAGAATTATACTTGTGTAATGTAGGGTTCTAATCACTTAAGATAGTGAGTGCAGGGACTGACCAGCTGGTGTTGCAGAATCAAATTCATGACAGTGCTCGCCCAGGTGAAATTATCTATACAGATGGTTATGTGTTGAGGGGCAGAAACGTGCATGGTGTGGGGTTTATAGCAAAAGCTAATGGACGTTGTTCAGTGCAACAAAACCTGGCATATATCACGTATAGTTTCAGAGTGGAGGCAGTCAATGCTGCATTCCGCTGGCTTAAGAGTAAGCTGTACATGCATGTCGTAATTGTAACCCATTCACAGAGCATGTTAAGGAAGGTGGAGACAAGCATGCTTCAGAGGTCCTGGGTAGTATCTCTTCCTTTTTGTGTCGTTGAAAAGTTGTTCATTGCTACAATAACTACTATTACAATGCAGTAACTGGCCTTGGGGAGCAACACGACCAACTACTACCACAACCACTGCGCTACCACCACCACAACTATACTACCACTTACCAAAATTGTACTACGACTTACTAACACCACCACCACTGTACTACCACAACCTCCACTGTATTACCACCACCACAACTATACTACCACTTACCAACATTGTACTATGACTTACTACCACCACCTCCACTGTACTACCACCACCACAACTATACTACCACTTACCACCATTGTACTACGACTTACTAACACCACCACCACGGTACTACCACAACCACTGTACTACGACTTAACCACTTACTACTAACTAGGGCTGTACCGAATAGTGATTTTCACTATTCGGCCGAATACGAATAGTGAATCATCATCATCAGGTGCTTTGCCGATTGGCATGGGCGATTATGCCTTGTCACAATCTGCGATCTCCTGCAGCATGTATTAGTTTGTGTGCTGACACACCTCCATGCCAAGCAACAAGACTGTCAAGAATCTTCTCTCGTTGTCTTCCTCTATCCCTCCTTCCACAGATCTTTCCAGATTCGAAAAATGACGACTGTCTCCTTCTGAAGACTGTGAGTAGTCTTCGGGCTCCTGCCTCTTTTAAAACCTCTTGGTTGCTTTTTTCTTGCTGTTCAATGTATTTTAAGCATTGTTCTGTAAAACCACATCTATGAGGCCTCAAGAAACTGTTTGGCCTGCCTACCGATTATCCAGGACTCACAGCCATATGTCAAAACTGGACAAGTAACGCTTGACAGTATGAACCAAGGTGGGCAATCTTGATATGTTCATTTCCCACCAGTCCAGAAACGTGTGTAAGGTAACCACTATTCGTATTCGGCCCGACTGCAACTATTCGGCCAAATACCGAATAGTTATTAGGTCCACTATTCGGCCCCGAAGCGAATATTCAGTACAGCCCTACTACTAACACCACCACTTTACTGCACACACACACACACACACACACAGCGGTTACACATGTAATAATCGTGCAAGACTTTCTGAACATGCTTCGGAAAATCACAGGTAACATTTGATCTGAATGGATGGAGAGCATTCGGAAATCGCACTTTATTTCTCTTATCTCATCTATGCTCTGGCTATTAGTTAGTTAGTTGGGTTATCATCCTTGCACGCCGGACATGTCCATAGGTGCTCAGATCCTCCCCTCAGTATGAACCCCAACGTCCGGTGGCTAATAGTACCAGTTCTATGTTGATTAACAAGTCGTCTGGTGGCACTCTTCCGATTAACGGTCCCTTATTATTTACTGTCCAAAACATTCCTTTTAGAGCCTCAAGGGGTTCAAGAGGTTACAAAGGGGTTATAAAGAGGTTGAATAATAAGGGACCGTTAATCGGAAGAGTGCCCGTCTGGTGTGCCTCTCGTTTTTTGCTATGCCGATCTTAATTCCAAAGTCTGCCATCCTGGCGAGTAATGCCGGCGTGAAAGGTAACGAACAAGCGGACTAGCTGGCAAGCAATGCACCAACGCATGCAGGAAGAAGCATAGACAGAGCAGATTTCATCAACGCTGAACGGACTTTCTTAGTGGCACCGCTTTCTATAGAAATAAATAGCTCCAGGAGTTTGTGGGTAATGGGTAGTGACGAATCCCTGAAACTCATACGACTGCGTGACATGGGAGTAAAATGCCGTGAAGCATTTCGCCTTCTGTGTCATCTAGTAGGAATAGAACTTGAGATTGCAAAACATCACGGCATATCAAGCTACTGAGCGCGCTCTGGCTCGGCTACCAATCGTTTGATGGACTGCGACGCCTAGCGGCATAAGCAGGTATTGAAAAAAGAAGAAGTAAGAATGCTAGCTTGCTTGTTGTACCCCACTACGACATCACACAGGCGATAAACACCCGGTGACACAAACTGCCACCATGCGGATGAGGATCTCACGAGAAGTCCCGGAAACCCCTTTTAGCCGTTATGGCCACAATTGTGGCCCAGCTATAGTCAGAGCTTCCGGCAAAAGCCAGGGTAGGGCTTCAAATAACGAAAAATTGCAACCCACAAGGGGACGAATGGTTAAGTAAGAAAAATAGTAGTAGTACCTCACTAGGACATCACACAAGCGATAAACACCCGATGACACAAAGTGCCACCATGTAGACAAGGATCACGCGTGGAGAGGTCCCGGAAACGGCGTTCAGCCATTAGACCATATTTATGGCCAGGCTATATTTGGGGTCCTGGCAAAAGCCAGGGTGGGGCTTCAAAATAACGAAAAATATCACCCCACAAGAGGACTGGTAGTAGATGTAGTTCAAGCAAGAATACAAACAGAACAGTTACCAACGCAAGCGCTAAACACGAATGTCTGAAGTTAAAGAAAGAGGTCGCTCTCGGAGAAATAGACTGATGACGTTAAACAAGCATTTGCATCGACACGAAATGACAATAGTCATTGCTGCCCACCAAACAATGGATTAGGTACTTTCCTTCACACGCCGCTCAACAGCAAAAGTGGACATTGATAATGTTGAGGTTAGGATAGGGGACATAGCTAGCTTCCTTTAGGAACTGTTAGCTGAGATTGTGAAGTGGCTGCTGCATCGGAGGACTGAGCACGTCTAGGAATGCCCAATGTGCAGCGATATTGATTGTGATAATACAGGTCCTTCTGTATATAAATAGAGAAGGTCGTGGATAATATAAGATAAAAAAAAAAAAAAAAAAAGCCAGATCTGTGAAGTGGATTGCACGCAAAACTAAAGTTCTTGAGCAAGGTTAAGGTCTAGAAGTGGACGAACACCAGAACTTTCCGCTAGAGTTTTCAGCTGGTTAGTGACTGACGTTTAACCCCACTTGGACGGCACAACCCAGTGACACAAAGTGCCACCATCGGATGAAAACTCCCCGTTCCAGAAATCCCGTTCAACTGTAAGGTTATTATATTAGGGCTCCCGGGCGTGGTTACTACGGGGCTTTATTTCATATTTAAAACAACACTTGTGTCCTATTTGGAGGGGGGATTTTTATAAATAAACAGCCGGTGAAGATAGGTAGGTAGGTAGGTGCTTTGATGGGGGAAAAAATCGCCACGTTCAACCAGCATCCCCGAAGGGGGAGCTTAAGGTTATAACTGTGACTAGGTTATGTGCGCCAAGTAAAATGGCTAGGATTGTACGCCACTAAGTAGCCCTGAAAAGAACTCCTGCTTTGGTGATGTAATCAAAGGAGACAGACCCAAATGCTGCCCTGACCGGCGACGAAGCCGTCTACCGGCGAATCAATAGGTGACCCGTTCGCCAATGGAACAGCTGGAATGTTGAATTAAGAATCGACATCACAGCACTCGGAACACTCCCATAAGCGCTCCGTCCTCATCTTCAACAGCAAGCAAAGAGTTAAAATTCCGATGGTACCAGTAACAGTCTGATTGTATATCCGTCTCGCCTCTCCCCCGAGTGTCGGCCAGATCCCCTTGTAACTCCTCGCAATGCCATTCTCATCAGACAGTAAATGATCTATCTGTTTCTCGGCACTGTTCACTCGCTCCCAAAGGGCCATCACAATATCCAGCTTGTCATATATCAGTTCACCACCAAGTGGTGCAAAATCGGCCAGTCTGTCCACCTGCTCATTTCCCAACACAGCGGCGTAACCTGGAGAAAATATCCAAAGGATGCTAACTTCCCGGGATCTCTGAAGTGATGCTTGTCCATTCGCCTTCGCTATGAACCCCCATGCACTTTGTCTGCCCCTCACCACAGAGCCATCTGTATATACAATCACATCACTTGGGCGGGAATTGTCATGAATCATTTGTTGAACTTCTGGTCCTGCAGCACCAGCTGGCCAGTCCCTGCACTCACGTCCCAAAGTGATTAGAATCCTACACAAGTCTGAAACATGATCAGACACTCTGACCCACCCCTCTCCTCGCCTACATTTATCAAGCCTGCACACATGTCGAATTGTGTCTTCAAGTGCGCCATCCACGACTTTCCTCTTTTCAGTCTGTGACCCTTATCTCTATCCAGGGCTTCATGCAGGAGGTGATACTGAGATATGACTTTGCTTGCAGAACATTGAGCCTATCTGCAATAGTAGGCAGTGCAAGTTAATATCGCATACATACTACCGGGGTATCTCGTGTACATCCCAGAATTTCTCGCATGGCTGCATTCTGTATGCGCTCCAGTCTCATCAACTGACTCTTTGATATGGTAAGCATGCCAAGTCCATAATCTATCACCGACAGGATCACATGCTGTAACATTGTGAACAACATTCTTTGTTCCATGTCCATTGCTGCCATAATTTTGAGAGCATTGAGTCCTTTTTGGCATTTCACTGCAACCGCATCCACATGATCCCTGAAGGCTTCTATCAAAAATGAAACCCCAGGTATCTCAGAACAGGTGGTCTTGTCTTGTCTTGTCTTGTCCACAATTGCCTCACAGCGTAGTGGGGAGTCGCAGTTTTCTATCCTGGGCCAGGTGTGTTGCACGTGTTGTTGTTAGTCCGTGTTGCCTCAGGATCTCTGATATATTGTCTATCCATCGTACTCTCGGTCTGCCTTTTGCTCTAGGGTAGTAGTGCTGTTCGTTGTATGCTCGAAGAGGCAGTTGGTCGGTTTGCATTCGCATCAAGTGGCCAAACCACTCTATTTGTTGCTTCTTTATGTATTGCAGGCATGGTGTGGTTCCTACAATTGCTCTAATGTTCTCGTTTCGAACTCTGTCTCTCCTTGTGACATTGGCAGCCTTACGTAAGCATCTCATTTCGCACGTCGTGATCTTTTTCTCCTGTGCTCTTGTTAGGGACCAGGTTTGGCATTGGCAGCAGAGGGTTGGTATAAACATGCAATTTATTAGTTGTCGTTTTAGTGCCATAGTGATGCTTGGGTGTTTTAGCAGTGGGGAGAGTTGGTAAGTTACTGCGTAACAGGTGGTAAACGCGAGAAAGTTTATATAAAGCAGACAACAATAATCGATCAATAAAAAAAATTATCGATTGGTTATTAATCGCGGCGGTACCAGTTAGAAATGGCGATCGCCGTTATGGAACCGCTCTGTGTATGGCAGTTAGTTCTTGTCACGTGTTTACTTGTTATTCCAATACTTTATCAGACTAGCAAACAGTTTAAATATTACGTAAAAATTGCCGTTTATTTCCTGTGCTCACTTTTCATCGGTTGTGGTGTCATCATTTGTTCACTTAGGCGACCGAGAAATCCAAAAAACCATTTGTGAGTACCAGCACCACACTCACACCACAGAAACAGCTGTTTAGTGTTTTTGTCGTGAAAAGTTGCAAATAATCTGTTTCTGTTTTATTTGCAACGGTCATCATAATTATTTTGCATTTAAAATTTTTTTTAATTTAATGATAAATTGGATAGTAAATATTTTTGAATAAACAATTTGTATTAAAATGTTATTATTCATTTTATTTTTCAAATTATCAATCTTATTTTATTTACTATAGTTCGTTAAATTTCAACAATAAATAAACAAACTTGCAAGCCATTTTCTAGAAAACTGCCTGTTAAATACCGATGATTTTTTTTAGATTTTACAGTAAACACCGAAATTTACGGTTCTATTTTTTGTTTAGTGGTGTCTTCATTAATGTAAATTTATTTGTTATCATTTATTTTCAGTTGAGCTGAGTCAAGAAAGACATCACAACACCATTACCAATGGTACCAGACGCAGTCTGATTTTATGTCCATCTTGCCATTCCTTTGAGTGTAGTATGGCGGCCAGGCCCTCTGATAATCTATTTTCTCTTCTGACTTCATTACTTGCTCTCAAAGGGCCTTGACCACATGTGCCTAATAAATAAATAATCTAGATTAGCTATCTTCCAAATAACGGTCCCAAATTATCGAGGCCGAAAATATACCCTAACAGGGCCTCAGTCACATATAAATTGCAGACTTCCGGTGACTTAAATTGTGCACTTACAGCGACTACCGCCACCGCCGAGAGTATCTCCCACGCCGCTACGCGCAGCATTGAGTGGGGCTAAACTAGATGGCTGTGACTCATGAGCAGCAGCTACTGCATCTCCTGCAGCTTCCTTCGTTTTATTTGCTCGTGAATCCCAGCCATCTAGTTTAGCCCCACTCAGTGCCACGCGTAGCGGCGTGGGAGATACTCACGGTGGTGGTGGAAGTCCGCAGTTTACATGTGACTGAGGCATATTTTTGGCCTCGATAATTTGGGACCATTATTCGGAAGATCTGTGAAGTGGACTGCACACAAAACTTAAGTTCTTGAGCAAGATTAAGGCCCAGAAGTGGACCAACAACCATAACTTTCTGCATGAGTTTACAGCTGGTGAGTGAGTGACGTTTAACCCCCACTAGGACCGCACAACCCAGTGACACAAAGTACCACTATCGGATGAGAACCCCTCCTTCAAGAAACCCTGCTCAACTGTAAGGTTCTATTAGCTCTTTCATGCTCATGAATTTTGACAGACTTGGCCCACATTAATTTCCCTTTAAAAAAATGACAGAGGAGTGGGTGTACAAAAAAGGCTGTAGAGATTATAATATACTTCTAATCTCTATAAAAGTATATATTTTTTAAAAGAGAAATGAATGTTCTTTTTGAATCTGATGATAAGAGTTTGTTTGATTTTGTAATAGTTAGTGGAAAAGAAGAATTCAGCAGGTGTTAATTTCACAAGGACAACATTTCACAAAAACACTCTTCACTTACCATGGTTTTGCAGCCACAAGAATAGTAAATATCCAAATTTGAGAACAAAACCTCAAAGTTTGTTCAATTTCCTAACATATTCTAAAGTTAGGATAACTTTCTGGGTTAGTTTATCACTCAGGGGCTCTTAGTTCCCACCGAGATCTAAGCAAAATTTCAGAGAAAAAATGGCAGAAAAATTAGCCATAACACACACACTATTTACTATTCACTTTGAACAGTTATTTACAGACTGTAGCGGCGATGATTTCAATGTAGCTTGGCCATAGTATAGTACTATCTCTTTGTTTAGAGCGCTTTCCTTCTCTTACACCATAAATACGGTAGTATGGGACATTGTCTGTGTAATAAACTCGTTAGAATCGCTAGATTCCGAATAGCTGATCGCTCAGCTTCACTGGTGAAAATTCACTGTCCGAATCACTTTCCGAAAAATCTAGATTTTTATTATCATTATCACAATTATAAACATTTGACTGAAACAATTTCAGAGCTTTGGCCGCAGAAAGACGCATTCTGCGACCTGTTCTTGTGGTTAGAACATTGGTATTCAGTGCACTCAAAAACGAACTTAGAAACTGAACTGTTAAAAAAAATTGATGTTTTTTTCTCTCAAATTATACACGTGTGGTTTAGTCCAAGAAATGAAACTAAAAGGATTTCAGCAGAGTAACTTTTCCTGAATAGGTTATTCGCACCTCCAAACCTTAGAAACTAGTACGACCGCGCAAAATGAGATACAAAATTGACGATGACACCGTTGTTTGGGCAGAACGGAACTTCTCAAACTATGCTCACACCATTGTTTGGGCCTTAAAGAGTTAGGGCTTTTGATGTGGTTACTAGGTTACCCAAAGTCCAGCCAGGGTGGGGCTTTTATTTATTATTTGAAAAACAAAATTGTGTACCCTGTATAGGAGGAGGTTTTTATTAATAAACAGCCGGCGTAGGTAGGTAGGGGCTTTGCTGAGGGGAAAAATTGTCATGTTTAACCAGCATCATGGCGCACAAAACCTAGTCAGAATTATAACCTAAAGCTCCCCCTTAGGGATGCTGGTTGAATGTGACGATTTCCCCCCTCACGTATCAATTCACCAACCATTAGCCGAGCTATCTGCCTTTTTCAATTGTAAACATGTCCCCAGTATGCAACAGTTAGTATTCGCATTGGTCACCATTAGATCCTAGGGTGTATCTTAACTGCAGAACAATAGGTATTATGGTTGACACATTTGGATATGGAGATGTATTTGTTGCGATTGTAGATGCACCTAACGGTTTGATGACATTCAACCTCTCATCAAAAATGGTTTTAATCAGTCCAAATCTTGGCGGTCCCAAAAGGTTGATAATTGTTACTGGCTGAACAAATTGTAAAAAATCTCAGTGCCAGTACTCGCCTTCCTCTCGGAGCACATGTTCAAAACACTTTTTCCATAAATGAATGTCTATTTTTGATAAGGACTCACGTGTCAAAACTTCAACATCACATATTTTAAATGTACTGTTTTTTTCAGCAACTTGTCTTTTGACTTTGGTCCAAACCAGCTCTATCGGGTTGAGGTGTGAATGATATGCAGGGAGTCGCAGAGAAGTGTGGCCGTATTCATTGATGATTTTTTTCAGTGTGATACACCTTTGTCTTTTTTGTTTTCCTCACAAGCTGCAACAACTTTTCCTTCAAATATATGTCGTCAAAGTAGGCTTTTTCCTTAACAAGCCATGTATTAATTTGATCTTTTGTATTTGAAATTATTGGTACTTTGTCTTCCTCTGATACTGCATTACGATAGGTGGCATTATCCATTACTAGGCATGATGGTCTGTCCAGAATTGGAAGAAGATCATTCAGTGTCTGAAAATTTGCCCATTCATTCAGTGTGGTAACCACTACCATCTGTACTTTTTGATTAGAAAATAAGTCCAGCATCATGGATAAGGACTTTTCACTGCTTCCTGCATAAGTGAGTATAATGCGCTGGCCTTTGTCGCTTGAAATGTTTCTTTTTTATTCACCATTTATTGGCTGCCATTATTTAGCATAAATATGGTGAGCATTAACCCAGGAGTCATCGAAATCTACAATATCATAGCCTTGCTTTCGTCGCTCACAAATTTGCCTCAGGTATTTGCTTTGACTAGCAATCAATCGTGGCTTTTCACAAATAATACTCCTTCCACCTAGTTTTCCTGAAAGTGAACCCAGTTTCTCTTACAATTTTCCACAGACTACTTTTTTAAATGTCAATACTGCATTGTGATTTCAGTGTTAATTTCAGTTTTCAGAAAGTAATGAGTTGATTTGTCTGTAACATTTTTAAGATCTCACCTCTAATTACATCTACATCAAAGTCATCAACTTTCCTTTTCCTTCCTTGTTTGACATGAACTTACTCTGTGCCCTGTCTAATCCAATAGTTAAATGATGCTCTATCCAGACCAAGCGCCAATCATGTTCGTTTCTCTGGGTCATAAATGTCTTAATATAAATGACCCATCTTAGATTCCACGAGGAAGTGCTGGTACAGTAAAACGGTAACCTTCTGCACAGTTATAAATTTGCATCTCAAATTCTTTTTGAAGTTGATCTATGTCAGCTTTTTTAAGCTAGCTATATGACACAATAACTTAACATTAATTTGCGGATATGCCTTTGACTAAACACCCTCGACCGAAGTCTTATTTTGGCTTCCTGTCGCTTAAGGTTTGCACGAAAAAATCATGAAATTGCTTAGGTTTCTTTGATCCCCTGTTAAACCAGTCATAGTGTGCACTACTTCCTGAAACTTATGAAAGTAAACCTTCCAAAAGACTACCAAGACGGTTTCACAAAAAAAAAAATATCGTAAATAAGAAAAAAACTACATATGATATTCTTCTTTAGTGAAAACAAATATTTCCTTAACGTCGTGGATATTCTAAGGCTGCATGCAAAAAATCATTGTGATGTAACGGGCATTTTTCGAGAAAATGGCTTGCATGTGTGTTCATCTATTGTTAAACAAACTGTAACTATGGATGATGGTCAATCCTTCAGATATAATTTATGACATATAATTTATAGAAATTATGGATTAATTTTACAATAAATATTAAAAAAAAAAATCTGTTGAATGAAGACCCAGTATTACATATTCAATGCGTGTGTGTGTTTCTTCTCTGGACTTCTCCTTTTCTTGCCTTTGTCCTGCAGAGGGGCATAGGCTGTCATCCAGCTGTCTCTATCTCTTTCTCTCTCTCTATGTGTATTTTTATGTGTATGTGTTGGTCTCCCTTTATTTATTTGACCCTGTGGGCTCAAATGCAAGGGCTATCAAGCTTTCTCAGTGTGCCCTTTCCAGAGCCATCACCTGTTCCTCAGCTCTTGATTCGCTGGCATTTATTTAGTTCTTTCCCATAGCTTCACATTAGGGACATATCATACTATTTAACTCCCTTTTATTCTGCACAGGAGTCAGTCAGTTAATGAATGTTTATAGTTTATTAGTAATCTCTTGAGTGTTGTCCAGATTTCTGCTCCATACAGCAGTATTACTTTGAGATTTGAGTTAAATTTTCCAAGTTTGAACCTGGGTTTGTTATTTGTTATTTTCTTTGGTTTCCACATATTTCCTAGTGCTATGAAAACTCCCTGTCTTTTGTATTTATCTTTTTACATCTATATCAATTCCTACATCTTTATCTATGTTGATGCCTAAATAGATACATGACTCACATCTTGAAGGGATATGTGGGTTATTATTTGCCAAATTTATTCTCAACATTTTTGACTTATCAGTACAATTTTTAGACCTAATTGTTGCTATCTCTCATCAGGTATGTTTAATTTACCTTACGCTGGATTTTCCATTTTTTTAATGTGACAGCAGGGAAATATTGATGATGTTGATATAATTGAGCTGCTGTGGGAACAGAGAAGATGGCGCTGTATTTGATGCATCCTGAGAAGAAAGGTTAAAGGTTAAAAGTTAAAAGGATCAACTTCATTGCACAGGGTTTTATCCCATTTGGCTCGGTCTTTCTCTGCAGAACAGCTAGCCACCTGGCAAAGCACAAACTCCGAAGCTCCAGCGATGATCCCCAGGTATCTCCGTAGAAAATTGCAGTCGTGAACCGAAGGGCGCTACCAAACATAAAAATATCAAAACAACAAAAAATATCGAAATGGGAAATAAAGGGATTGAGGAAGTGAAGACACCCGAAGGAAACTCTGAAACGAAACATCGATGAGAGAGACCAATGCTGCTGGACTGGATTGATATCAAACTGATCACACAGGATAGAACGGAATAGAGGAATAGACTGCGAGCCCTATGTGACATATAATGGTAAGACTGGATAATGACTGAACATTTAGTAGGAATAATAATAATACAGTAAAAAGTCAATGACCCTTTTTTACACCAGTGGTGCATCAGGCGTATGCGGCCGTGATGGATGATGTTGGCAGCATCACCCCCAGCTGCCTTTACATCCCAGGAATTTACCTGGTACCCATTTTAGGCTGAGTCAACCTGTATGCCAAGGTAATTTTTCAGAATGAGTGGTTGATGTGAGACTTTGGGCTGGCAAATGAGCATGTAGCCCCTATGCTCCCTGTAAGAATAATACTGGCAATAAAAGGCATCTTTGTCATATAGGTTGCCATTACAGAATCCAGCAACCTACAGACACGAGGAGTGCAGGATTTGTGGAAATGCCTTTTTGTATGCAGGCATTTTGTTCCTTACCTCTTGTGCAGATGCATTCCAGTTTCAAAGGAAACATCACTGATTAGTCGCCTTGTACGACATGCTTGGGGGGGGGGGGGGGTGGCAGAGGGGAGCGGAGGTGCACAGTTGGTCTGTTCTCTCTCCCTCCTTCCCAACCCCCACCAAGCATATGTCGTATGAGGCGACTAATCAGTGTTATTTCCTTTGGAATCGGAATGCATCTGCTTGAGAGGTAAGGAACCCCGGAATACAGAGATCATTTTATTTCAGCTGACTAAGATAGCTCTGGAGAATTTTTATTTAACTAAATAATATATAGAAACAAGAAAATCTGCAACAAATCTTTGCCGGAAATCTGTAGAAGCTTGATTGTTTAATGTACTTCTCTTTTTATTTCTGATGTATCTGTAAGCTATCTTTTTTGAGTACTCTGCATTTCATGTCTTTATTTGTTGCTTTTATTACTGTAAATATTTTTTGTGTGATCTTATTATCCTTCATCTTTTTTTTTTCATGAATGAGTGGTGTAAATTAAATGTTAACTGTGTAAGTAAAATATTGTTACAGATAGGAAAGGGAAGTCTGAGAAAATAATAAATCTGCATTAAACAGTGAAATTAACTGTCTGTCTCCTTTCCTCCAGCGTAGTCTCATTTAGTGTTAGAGCTTTCCTGAGCGATCTGCTTGGCATAGAACTGATTGTACGAGAAGAGGAGCGGCTAAAGAAAGATGAGCCTTTTATCATTGTTCTCAACCACCAAAGCTCTCTTGATATGATTCGTAAGTTGCAGTTTACTGCTGAGTGTTGCAGTCAGGTGTATTGCTGTTACACACGTTACCACTGTGGTGGTTACTGTCACAAGTGTTGCTGTGCACACATGTTACTGTTACTGTTACAAGTTTTACCACTATGATAGTTACCGTCACAAGTGTTACTGTTACAAGTGTTAACCACTATGGTACTTACTATTACAAGTGTTACTGTTTTCAGTGTTAACCACTATGGTAGTTGCAGTTACAAGTGTTACTGTTTCAAGTGTTAACCACTATGGTAGTTACTGTTACAAGTGTTACTGTTACAAGTGTTACTGTCACAAGTGTTGCTGTGCACACATGTTACTGTTACTGTTACAAGTTTTACCACTATGATAGTTACCGTCACAAGTGTTACTGTTACAAGTGTTAACCACTATGGTACTTACTATTACAAGTGTTACTGTTACCAGTGTTAACCACTATGGTAGTTGCAGTTACAAGTGTTACTGTTTCAAGTGTTAACCACTATGGTAGTTACTGTTACAAGTGTTACTGTTACAAGTGTTAGTTACAAGTGTTACTGTTACAAGTGTTAACCATTATGGTAGTTACTATTTTAAATGTTACTGTTACAAGTGTTAGCCACTGTCATAGTTACTGTCACATGTGTTACTGTTACAAGTGTTTACCACTATAAAAGTTCTGTCACAAATGTTTACCACTATGGTAGTTACTATCACAAGTGTTACTGTTACAAATGTTACAACTGTAGTTGTTACTATCTCAAATGTTTCCACTATAGTAGTTACTGTCACAAGTGTTACTGTTGCAAGTGTTTTAACTATAGTAGTTACTGTCACAAGTGTTACTGTTACACATGTTACTGTCACAAGTCTTTCCACTGTGGAAGTTACTGTCATAGGTGTCACTGTTATAAGTGTTACTGTCACAAGTGTTACAGTTGCAAGTGTTTACCACTATGGTAGGTACTGTCACAAATGTTTACCACTATGGTAGTTACTATCACAAGTGTTACTGTTACAAATGTTACAACTGTAGTTGTTACTATCTCAAATGTTTCCACTATAGTAGTTACTGTCACAAGTGTTACTGTTGCAAGTGTTTTAACTATAGTAGTTACTGTCACAAGTGTTACTGTTACACATGTTACTGTCACAAGTCTTTCCACTGTGGAAGTTACTGTCATAGGTGTCACTGTCACAAGTGTTACAGTTGCAAGTGTTTACCACTATGGTAGGTACTGTCATAAGTGTTTACACTATGGTAGTTACTGTCACAAGTGTTACTATTACAGGTGTTATTGTCACAAGTATTACTGTTAACAAGTGTTTACCACTATGGTAGTTACCGTCACAAGTGTTACCACTATAGTAGTTACTGTCACAAGTGTTTACCACTATTGTAGTTATTGTCACAAGTGTTACCCATATGGTAGTTACTGTCACAAGTGTTACCACTATCGTAGTTACTGTCACAAGTATTACTGTCACGAGTGTTACCACTATGGTAGTTACTGTCACGAATGTTACTACTATCTTAGTTACTGTCACAAGCAATGAAAAGTAAAGGACCCCTTTCATGTCTGTGGCCCAGCGGGCATATAATGCGAGACCTAGATTTGTATGTTACAGTCAGCACGTTATGGATGAATGGGCCATCATCACGACAGCCAACTTTACTTCCCAGGACACTTCCTATTATCACTTTAAGACTGGGTCGACCTGGAAGCCAAGAGTTAAGTTTTCAAAACAATCGACCACTATGCATCTTTGAACCTTGGGCTAGGCCAGTAGGCAAGCTAGTATCTAGTCACTGTGCTTCTGTGTTTCCCCATTAACACAGCTGTGTGTGTATATGTGTGTGTGTCTGTTCACCGGCTGTAAACCCCGCTGGAAAGTCCAGGTTGCTCGTTCAGCTCTAGACTTTGGCTTTTTTCGAGGACCTGAGTTATGTGTGTGCGTGCATCCGTTTGACAGATTTGGCATAATTTTGTGCAGACTGATGGTTCCTTGCCTCTCAGGCAGAGGCCATCCAACTATGAAAGGAATTTCCTAATTAGTTGACTCCTATGGCATGCTTGTTAGGGAGGCAGTGGGTCTATTCTTGTTTTCCCCTTCAGTGGGACCCAGTCCCCCAGTAGTGGAAAAGTGGAGGGGGCGGCGGCTAGGGTCTCAGGTGTTATTGTTACAGTGTTGTGTTTGCAACTATCATCATCATGAATACTTCCACTACAAATGTTACTTTTATAAATGTTATGCTGCAAATGTTTATTTTACAAGTTTCTGTTATAAATGTTATTTTAACAAATCTTACTGCTGCACACCTGACCATAAGAAATGTTCCTCCTGCTCGCCTTACTGTAACCTATGTTCCTACTTTCCTCCTTTCAGTCCTTATTTCAGTCTTACTGTAGCAGATGTTCCTGCTACAGACCTCACTGTAACATATTGTTTTAAGTACAAACTTAGCTGTAGCAAATGTTTCTGCTACTAACCTCACTGTAACAAATAGTTTTACTACAAACCTAGCTGTAGCAAATGTTAATGCTACAAACCTCACTGTAACAAATAGTTTTACTACAAACCTAGCTGTAGCAAATGTTTCTGCTACTAACCTCACTGTAACAAATAGTTTTACTACAAACCTAACTGTAGCAAATGTTTCTGCTACTAACCTCACTGTAACAAATAGTTTTACTACAAACCTAGCTGTATCAAATGTTAATGCTACAAACCTCACTAATCTGTTTCAAGCAAACAAAAGAAGAAAAAGACAAATCCACACAGAACCAGTTCTAAATTAGTAAAAGACGGCAGATCAAAAAGTTTGCCCACTTAGAGAGAATGGCTTGTGACACCACACCATACGAGGCATACACCAAAAGAGGAGGATAAAGAGCACAAGGTAGACCAAGAACAAGATGGAACAATAACATCAGAGAAACTCTACAACAGCACAGTGTGTCTATGGTCGAGGCAACTAGAAGAGCAAGAAGCAGAACCTTATATCTCCCTCAACACCTGAAATGGTAAAAGAGGAAAAGGAGAAGAGGAGGAACTTAATGCAGTAGCATTGTGGTTAAGGGCTCCAGTCTTGGGTTCAAACCTGCATTGGGGCTGATCTGTTGTCATTGACTTTGGCTACCAGCTCAGCCCAGCCAAAAATAGGTAACATGACATTTCCTGGGAAGTAAAGGTAGCAGGCATGGTTTTGATCCCATCACCAGTCACCTATCAGGTGTCAGTTAGTCTATAAATTATAGGGCTTCTTCTTCTCTGTGTTCCTCAGCTGTAAACGCAGCAGAAAGTTCTGGTTGTCCATTTCTGGACTATGTCTTGTGCAATAATCTGAGTTTTGGATGCGCATCCGCTTTACAGACCTGGATTATTTATATACTGGGGCGAGCCCTTCGCATGTTCCACGTACCGGCACAGATCAATGATATGATCGAGCAGTATTTCTCTAAGTTCGCTTTGCGCTTCTCTACCTCGGCGTTTACCACGAGATGGACTGAGCTGCAGATTGGGATAGCTATGGGGTGTACGATCTCACCAATACTGTTTGTCATGGCCATGCAGATCATGTTGGACGGGGCGGCCGGCTACGGACTGGGCCTTCAAATAGGGGATCACTGGATGCCTCCACTGCGTGCTTTTATGGATGACATGACTATTATAACGGGCAGCGAGGAGTCTGCCCGCACGATCCTGGGAAGATTAAACGCAGTGGTCCAATGGAGCGGTATGCAGTTCAAACCGCAGAAGTCGTGGAGTCTGTCTATCCTTAAGGGTCAAGTGTCGGCAACCAGTTTTACGGTGGCAAGGAACAAGATCCCCACGGTTCTGGATGAACCGGTGAAGAGCCTTGGTCGCGTTTACGATTCGAAGTTATCTGACAGAGCGGAAGTCCGGCGAATACACGAGTCACTGGCTACAGGCCTGCTCGCGATCGAGCGTTGCAGGCTGATCGGGAAGTTCAAGGTATGGTGTCTCCAATTCATGTTGATTCCGAAGCTCCTATGGCCACTGCTAGTCTATGAGGTGACGATGACTGCAGTGGAAACCATGGAGAAGAAAATCAACACAGCCTTAAGAAAGTGGATTGGTGCACCACCTTGTCTGACCGACGTGGCTCTGTATTGCAAGCAGGCTAAGCTGGTACTCCCGTTCAAATCGATAACCGAAGAGTTAAAAGTTGGCAAAGTAAGACTCGCCATGCTCTTGCGCGAGTCTTCAGACCCAAATGTCATCTAAAGACTGGGCAGAAGTGGAGGGTCCTCGATGCGATTGAATCTGCGCAGAACGCACTAAAATTGAAGGAGATAATGGGATACACTCAAACCGACCGTCGAGGCCTAGGGCACAGAAAGGTCAATTGGTGGTCAAAGGCCTCAGCCAAATAACGCCGAGACATGGTAATACAAAAGGTGAGGGACAACGAAAATGAGGTTCGGGTGCAGAAAGCAGCCCAGCAGTCGCAGCAGGGCCATTGGGTCAGCCTGGAGAGCGCATTGCCAAGAGTACTCACATGGGGTGAGATCTGGCGAATGACCCCGCTGCGACTGAGCTTTATCGTTGGTTCGGTGTACGATGTATTACCGTCCGGTGTTAACATGGTTAAACGGTCTGCGACCAACGATCCGACTTGCCCATTGTGTAAAGCAAAGCAGACTCTTGAGCACGTCCTGTCTGCATGCAGGAAAGCCCTAGGCCAAGGCCGATATACCTGGCGTCACAACAAGGTGCTAAAAGAGTTAGCAGCCGTTGTTGACCAGGCTAGAATGAGGGCAAGTCTAGAGCCAGTTCTACCATCGTCCCCATTCGTTTCCTCAAGGCTGGGCAGATTCAAAAAGGTAAGGTCAACCGAAACGCATTCACTCCATCTGTGCTAGACTCTGCGAGGGACTGGTTACTGGCGGTTGATCTGCCGGGCCATGAGAGGTACCCCGAGTTAATCCGGAAGACCAGTCTGCGACCTGACATAGTTCTACACTCTGCGGAGAAACGGCAGCTCATCCTGATTGAGCTCACCGTCCCGTATGAGTCGCGTATGGACGAGAGTCACACATATAAGCTCGAGAAATATTGTGACTTAGCAGCCGGTCTGAGGAGAAACGAGGCGTACACAGTACGGGTCTTTGCCTTCGAAGTGGGAGCGAGAGGCCTCGTTTCCACTTCGCTCTTCAGTGTGGTTAAAAAACTAGGATTGCGCGGTAATGAACGGAAACGAACACTTAAAAAACTGGGCGAGGTAGCCGAAAGGGCCTCGAGCTGGCTTTGGACGCAGCGAAACAACGTAGGGGACGGGCCTCGGTGAGCTGGTCCGGGTGTCTAGCGGAAAAGAGTTTTTCATCCCTTGAAAGTCCATCGTGTCTGAATTGTCTGCCAGTGATCCTCTGCCACCTGCTAACAAAAGTCCAACATGTGTCTGGTAAACCAATCGTAAGCTTGTTGCTCAGTCGTCCAGGTACGCTGACTGTTCTAATTAGGCTGCTGCGACGACTTCTTATCTCACAGTACCTTCTGCAAATCACCAAGTCGTCTTGTCCCTATCCGAAAGAAAAACACCATCCGGTAATTTCGTGCAGCAGGGTACCAGCCCTGAGCTTCATGAACTCAGGTGGGCCCACCTCCGAAAGTGTCTAGGAGAATCGTGGGCCGAAACACTTGTCGACGAGGATAACTTCTACTGATGACTGGTAGATCCCTGCTGTACTTGCTCCCTGTGAGTTTATTCCTATACTGACTGTTGGTTCCTTGCCTGTCAAGCAGATGCACTCCAACTTTGAAGAAAAAACCCCCCAATTAGTCGCCTCCTACAACATGCTTGTTTGAGTGTGGGAGGTCTTTGTTCTCCAAAATGGAGCCCCTGATCCTATACGGGGAAGAGGTAAGAATAAGAAATATTTTAATTTCGATGTCGTCTATAGCTGTACATGTAATATGGCAGGATAAGTAAAGTAAAAGTAAAGCTAACTTTTTCATGCCTTCAGGCGTATAGGGCATATAGGGCTAGGCCTATATTTTTATAGACCAGTCGGCACAAGATGGATGATGTGGTCAGCATCATGCCGGCCGCCTTCACTTCCTGAGACTGCACCCACTACCCACTCAAGGCTGGGTCCACCTGATAGTCAAGGTCATTTTTGAAGAATAAAAGTCCGGCTCCACCAGGGAGTGAACCCACGACCTTCCGATCCGCACGCGAGTGTCTAGCTGCTACGCCATGGCAACTTCCTAATCTGGCAGGATAACTGATTTATTGTGTTTGATGCATTGATGCCATCCACAGCTTTGTTTAGGATATGGCCAGATAACTGTGTCAGCGTTGCCAAGAAGGAGCTGATCTGGACAACGGGCACCTTTGGCCCAGGGGCCTGGCTATGTGGTACTGTGTACATAAACAGGCTGAACTCTGAAAGTGCACGGAAAACCATAGAAGAGACTGCTACTCTAATCAAGAATAGGCGGGTATGCGCTGTTTTGGTTTCTTGTATTTAGATTAGGGTGGGAATTTAGAAGAGCTGAAATGTTTTGATTTGAATTTAGATGAGTTGGTGTGTTGGGGTTGACATTTAGAAGAGCTGAGGAACTTAGTCGCATTGAGTTAAGAATTGACATCACAGCACTCTGGGTATTCCCATCTGCGCTCTGTCCCCATCCTCAGCAGCCAGTGCAGCATTCTAATACTAATGGTACCAGTCGTAGTCTGGTTATATGTTCGTCTTGCCTTTTCTCTGAGGGTAGGATGCTGGCCGAACCCTCTGGTGACACCCAAGTATATAATTTTCTCCAGCCCATAAGAATCTAGTTTATTTTCTGACTTCGTTACTTGTTCCCAAAGGGCTTTGACCACATCTGCCTTGTCATGTATCAATTCACCACCCAGCGGTGCAGATTCAGCCAGTCTGTCTGCCTGTTCATTCCCCACCACTCTGGCATAACCTGGAGAAAAGATCCAAAGTATGCTCACTATCTGTGACTTTGCAAGTGAAGCTTGCCCCTCTGCTCAAAGCAATCCTGTCTTCACCTATTTCAGCGTGCTTTTAATAAAAACTTGGTTTGGAATTTAATAGAGCTGAGGTGCGTGGTTGGAATTTTTGAAGAATTGAGGTTATCGGTTTGGAATTTTAGAAGTTGAAAGCTTGGAGGAGCTGATGTGCAGGGTTGGAAGTTTAGATTAGCTGAGTTGCATGTAAGGAAGGTTATAGGGGCCAAGATGCAAGGTCGGAGGTTTAGAGGTGCTGAGGTGCAAGGTTGGATGTTTAAAGATGCTGAAGTGCAGGCTTTGGAAGTTTAGAGATGCCGAGGTGCAAATTTTAAAGATTTTTGAGGAGCTACTGTCAAATGTGAAAAAGTTGAGAATGAAAGGCTGCTTTGCCCAAGAGCACATTCCACCTAGCGAACAGATTATGTCACTTCTTATGGTTACATTTCCTCTTATGACCTTTTCAAAGCCTTCAGTGAAATTAGATATGTATGGTGATAACCGCATAGTTTCATAGACCGGTCAGCATTATATGGGTGATGTGGTCAGTATCACGCAGGGTGCCATTACCTCCCTGTACATTTCCTGGTACACATTTTAAGTACAAATAATATAGCACATTATTGACACCTGTGACAACTGATAAATAAAATTTAGTCTTGATGGACAAATAGTATATAATATAATATAGCACATTATTGACAAACAATATATACTATTGGGGGGGGGGGGGGGAACCCACTGCTCTAGCAACAAGCATATGGTAAAAGTCGACTGCTTATGGGTGTTTCTTTTCAAGTCAGAATGCATCTGCCTGAGAGGTGACGAACCAGCTGTCTGCATACAAATAAGCCAGATGTGTAAATCGGATGTGTATACAAAACTCGTTCTGGAATAAGACAAAAATCCATAAATGGACAAATAACTTTCTACCGGATTCTGCATCCAGAGGATGTCAAGAAGAAGATAATTAATGGGGGTAAAACAATTAATATAATAATATAGTCATATTACGGGCAAATAGCATATAAAATAATATATTAATATGATTTTTTTTTTTCATAAACTGTTTGAAATAATAAAGTCACATAATGGACAAAATAATATAAAATAATGTAGTCGCCTGTTAAACAAAAATAATGTATTAACATAATGGACAAACAATAATATTCTTGGTAGGCGGTCAGAAAAGAGCACACTCACAAACAGTAATGGTCATGTGTGTTAACCATGAGTATGTGAAGTTAACATCATTCCATCTCTTGACTTCTAACAAGTTGTTGTATTTGGTCTGATATTGTTTTCAGTTGAAAATTGCAATATTTCCAGAAGGGACCCGCAACCACAGTGGGTCCATGTTGCCTTTTAAAAAAGGTGCTTTCCACTTGGCTGTGCAGGCCCAGGTGAGTGTTTTTAGTGATGTCGTTAATTGATCTGTCTTGTGTTCAGTACAGTCCAATCTGTGTAGAGGTTCTCGGGCCACAGTTTGGGAGGAGAGGGGAACTCACTGCCCTTCTAACAACCATGTCCTAAAATGTGACTTATTGTTGTAATTTATTTCGAAGTCAGAGTGCGTCTGCGTGAAAGGTGAGGAGCTAACGGTCTGCATATGATAAGTGTGTTTTTCCCTCGAAGTCGGAGTACATCTGCCAGTGAGGCAGGGAATGAGAACTGCAAACAAATCAAATAAGCCAGTAAAATGGATGTACACGCAAAAATCAGGTCCGGGTAAAAGCCAGAAGTCCAAATGGACGAACAACCGGGACCTTCCACCCACCGGTGAACAAGAAGAAGAAGAAAGATAAGTCTGATTTATAAAATGAATGCGCACACAAAACTTACGTTCTGGAACAAGATCAAAGTCTAGAAGTAGATGAACATCCAGAACTTAATGCTGAAGTTTACTACTGACACAGACACTAAGAAGGAGGAGAAGTGTGGTCCAAGATTCACAGAATTGTGTTTAAATTGTATCATGTGCTTAATCTTGTGTTGAGTACCAAATTATCTGAGTGGATCCATTATCACAGTAGAGAAGCTATGTCTCAGCCATATCTTGTGCGCTTCTCATTCATGTCGTAAAAGTTGACTAACTGGGGGGAGGGGGGGGGGGGGGGGGGGCTTCCTTCAAAGTCTGAGTGTATCTACCTGAGAGGCAAGGAACCAGCAATCTGTATACAAATAAGTCAGATCCGTAAAACAGATATACACAGCACTCAAGTTCTGGAACAAGACTACATTTCAGAAGTGGATGAACAACCAGAACTTTCCACCGGAGTTTACAGCCGGTGAACGCGAAGAAGAAGAAGAAGAAGAAGACTGCCTCTTTGCTTCACCAGCCCATGGATACTCACTCTATGTATGCTTTAGTTATTGTTTTATAAGACAGAATAGCTAATCACTGTGTGTTCTACTTTAACTGTATTATCTAATTGATGACAGGTGCCCATTGTCCCTGTGGTAATCTCATCATACAAACATTTTTACAGTAAGAAAGAGAAGATTTTCGATGAAGGTAAGTTTTCTTGGAAGTTATTTCACTCATTCTGTCCTAGCTGATGTCCTAATGAGGCTGTAAAGACAACAATAAAATCATAGGTATATTAAGTCCGTAGGGGCTTAATACACAACTCTTGAAGTAGAAAGATCCCTGTGTGGGTTTCAAGGTCCCATTGTGGGGAAAACTGCCTCCCCAACAAGCATGTCATAGGAGTTGACTAACTCGGGACCAGCTACACACAAATAAGCCAGTAAAATGAATTTACTGAGGCTCTGTCACAAAGTTAAAGTCCCATTGGACAAACAACCAGGACTTTCCACCAGAGCTTACAGCTGGTGAACAAAGAAGAACAGACGAACGAACAAACATTATTTTCGAAGGGTTACAAATTGGGCACGCAGGCCTGCTTTACATTCGGCCCTTCTAAGCACTCATCTTTCAGAGTACAATGCCTGTTATCAATAATGCATGTTATCTATATAATAAAAATTATACATTATAGAATAATGCATACACACATGTGTACAAGATCTTACACACTCAAACGTACACATACTCTTACATTCTCATAGATACACATACACACTTATACACAGACATACATAATACATACATACACCTACATACACACACTAGCACGCATACATACATTCATACATACATAGGCTACAGCTACATGCATACATAATACAAACATACATCCATACATACACCAACACACATACATACACAAACATAACACACACACATATACATACACAGACATACATACACAGACATACATACACACACACACATTCCATATGCATACACCACATACAATCACATATACAGACACCCACATACACACCTATACAGTCACATACAATCACACACATGCATAGAAGTAAAGAAGAAGTGAAGAGATATGTTGTTGGAGTGATTCACCATGCTTTGACGAAATATAAGATTTATATAATGTGGAAACAAACAATACATTCAACAACTTATTGCCTGGCATATTTGGCTGTACCTCGTCAGGTGCATGGCTACAGTGTATTTGTGTCCACATTATTTATAAATTCACTACAGAAAACAGTTTTAAATTTAAGATTTTGGAATGTTGAATTAAGAATTAACATCATAGCGTTAGGGAGACTCCCATAAGCGCTCCATTCCTATCTTCAGCAGCAGGCGGAGAGTTCCAATTCCGATGGTACCAGTAACTGTCTGATTGTATATCCATCGTGTCTTTCCCTTGAGTGTTGAGGGTCGGCCAGATTCCCTGGTAACTCCTCGCAGCGCCACTCGCCTCACACCATAATGATCTCTCTATGCTTCCTCACTGTTCACTCGCTCCCAAAGAGCCCTCACAACACCTAGCTTGTCATACATCAGTACACCACCAAGTGGTGTAGAATGGGCAAGTCTCTGCCAGCTAATTTCCCAACACACTGGCATGACCTGGAGAAAATATCCAAAGGATGCTAACTACCCAGGACCTCTGTGATACTTGCACTCTGCACAGAGCATACATGTCTCCACCTTTCTCAGCATGCTCTTTGAGTCAGTTACAATCACGGCATGTGTGTGTACAGCTGATTCTCAAGCCAGCAGAAGGCAGCAGTGACTGCCTGCACCTCCATTCTCAAACTAGACGTTGTGATATCATCTGTCAGGCTTTGTTGCCTTAAATGACATCCATTCACTTTTGCTATATACCCCCATGCAGTTCATCTGCTCCTTAACACAGAGCTGCCTGTATAAATAATTACATCACCGGGGTGGAAATTGTCATTTCAGATGTTAAAACATTTATTATATGTTCACTGGTACACATCAGTAATATTCAGTAATACATAGTTTTTTTTTTCTGGGTCCATAACGCACAAATCCTTGTGAAGCCTATATATAGGCTTTTCTGCATCGCCCAGTCCGCAACAAGCCTAGTTAACGGCATTGGTTCTGTTTGTGCCTGTTCATTATTTAGGAGGGCATAGTTAACTTATAATTCCAAAAAATGACAGTTGTCTGTTTATAAATATTCCTACCACAGGTAAATTGATTATGGAAATACATAAAAGTTGTACGTTTAAAGTTATGAAATACATACAAGTTGTCTGTTTATAAACATTCATACAACAGGTAAAGTGACAATGGAGATTTAGGAAAGTTGTATGTTGTTAATAAATAATAATGCCACAGGTGAAGTAATAATGGAGATTTAGGAAAGTTGTATGTTGTTAATCAATAATAATGCCAGAGGTGAAGTGATAATGGACATTTAGGAAATCTGTTTTGAAACTTGATCTTATGTGTTTATAAATTTCTCTACCACAGGTAGGGTGATAGTAGAGATACTGCCGCCTATTCCAACAACAGGGTTGACTTCAGCCGATGTGACGTCACTCACTGAGAAAACTAGAAGCATCATGCTTGAGTGTTTCCAGAAAATCAGTGAAGAAGCCACTGCAAGGAAATGAGAATTGTTTGTACTGCAAGACAGTCCGCTTCATGTTGAAAACTTTTCAAACTGCCCATCAGTATTCATTGTTTTCATACTTGATATGTTAGAGTACTGATTGTTTAAGTACAATTTCTGATGTTCCAAACTAGGGACCACAGTTTCGGAAATTTGCTATCTTTTCGACAATTTCCGTTACCATAGAAACCGTTTAAAACTTGTTTCGGAAATGTCGGCTGGGGTTTCGGGATGGGTCCTAATCTCTCATGAAATTTTGCCATTGGTGTGATTTTCACCCACTCTAAATAGCTAAAAACGGCGGGAAGGAACCCGATTAACAGCGCATGTCTACGACAGCCGGACATTCTCTGTTTTTCTGTTAGTCTATCAGTTTGATTGAAAATAGCGGTAAATTCGAGGTTGGCTTTAGGCTTAAACATTACCAGTTGTGGTAATGCTAGTTACAATTGAATTCTCCGTCCAATTTTACATTTGCATATTAAATTTTTTTTCCCGACTCTGGCTGTTTAGATTTACAGTGACATTTTTTAGGCAATCACATGCGGCTGAGTGAGCTGAGTCTCACTGCCTGCCATCTTGTCCAATGACAGTCCAATGTCAACAAAGCCGATACAGAACTGCGCAGTAGGTTGCACAGTAAAAAACTTCTTGTTTCTGGGTCACAAGTTTTAGCGGCTGTTTCTTACATCTTATCTCCACAAAAACCTACATATCTCAGCTCAGAAATGACATTCAAGCCTAAATGAGGTACCATTGGAAAGAGATTGTTTACAGCTATCTAAATGTGCTGGTTTTATTGGTGTAGAGGGCATTTTAAAAATTTGGCTGAAGTAGCTATCCAAACATCTACAAAATTGAGATTGATTAGCATCAAATTTATGGTTTCCCTATGTTGATTCAAAGGCTGCCATTGGGGGGGGGGGGGGGGGGTGTGCATAGACCCACTTGTCCTTACTAAGCAAGTAACCAAAAGGGACTAGTTAAGGATCTGCTAAAAATCAAATGTGCTTGGCTGGAAGGCACAGATATTGCAGCCTAGCTGTAAACCACAACAAGGCGTGCCAGTGGCCTTCTTAAGGACATAATAATGGCTTCTTAGAGATCAAAGCACACTGAAGATTATAATATTAAAGCTATTTGCTGGCAAGGTTTTTTAGAGATCATAAAAGAATCACTTTGAGAGATTACCAGTATACAAGAGGGTTTTGTAGAGTTCATAGAATAATCATGTTGAGGGGTTTTTGATTTACAGTTTTCTTTCTAGTACATAGAAAGTACTAGTACATATGCTTTTCCTAACAAGGGCGGGTCTTTATCGTCACACTTGCCATCACCATGTGCTGTAAGTCCCATGCCCCCTCATAGCGCAGTATAACACTGTCATCTGGAAAGATGAGTCAATTAATCAATCACATAGCATTTTCAGATTGAGAGAAGTAAGATTAAAATTGTTTCTGTTTTATAGGTCATAGAATAATATTAAGAGAACACTAATATACAGTTGAGGATATTCCAGAGGTCATAAAATAAGCAAATTTTAAGATTACTCATGCACAATTGACAGTTTTCAGGAATTTATAGAAATATCCAATTGGGAGATGCTGTGTGGCATTGTTAGTCATGTCTGTCCACAACCTTCTGTCTCGTGTACTTTTTTTTCAGTCAACTCTGACACAGGTGATCCTCCATGCTATTATGTCAGACTGTCCAACATCTGTTTTTTCGGTCTGCCTTTCCTCCTCTCCAACTTTCCTGCTGTCATGATGTACTCCAGTTTTCTCCTTCCCGTCACATGACCAAAGAATATAGATTGTCTTTTTCTGATGTTGGCAGTCCGTTCTCTTCGTTAGTCAGTTTCCCTCTAGAAGTCCTCATTTTTTTATGTCCTGGGTATCCTCATAATTCATCTATAAAACCACATCTACACAGCTTCCAAATATGTTTTCTCTAATCTACCAACTTTCCGTGATCACTTCCGTATATTGAGAGATTACTGAATTACAGTTAAGAGTTTCAAGTACAGCGATTATTAGTGGACAGTTGATTGGTTTTTCTTCTTCTTCTTCTTTTCAGCCTTCAATGGCTGTAAACTCCAGGAAGAGATCTGGTTGTTTGTTCACTCCTGGAGTTTGGTCATGATCCTGAACTATAGTTTTGCATGCATAATCGTATTACAGATCTAGCTTTTAAGGGTACGCAGACTGTTCGTTCCTTGGCTCTCAGGCAGATGCACTCCGACTTTGAAAGAAACATTTTTAATTAGTCCCTTCCTATGACATGGTTGTTTGGGACAGCGGGCCTGTTTTTTGTTCTCCAAAATGGAGCCCCGGAACCCACACGAGAAGTCATCATCATCATGTAGCAGGTCCTTTGCAGAAAGTCGCTCTTATCACAATCTGCCTGAAAGTAACTCGGTCTTTTGCCAGTTCTCCTTCCTCATGTACTTTCATACTCAAGGAGTCACTTATATCCTTGCCCATCTTCATGTTGGTATGCCCCTGCCCCTTCTTCCTGGTACTATGCTTCTGCTATAATTTTTTTCCAATCCGTCGTGGCGCTTGATATAACCAAAATATTTCAGCTTCCGAGACAGGATGCTGTTTATTAGTTCAGATCTTTTAAGATGTAAATATTTCTGCTCTTCTTTGTCCTAGTTATTCTGATAATCTTTCTATATAGCATTTCAGCTCAAAAGCCTCTATTCTCTTTCTTAAGGACTGAGAGATAGTCTACGACTCACATCCGTATGTAGCCACAGGGAAGATGCATGCTCTCAAAATTCTAATTTTGATCTCCTTGCTGGTGCTTAACCATAGACTTTTAAGGCTGTTCAATCTTTGCATTGCTAAGGCCATCCTCCTTTTAATTTCTGTCAGACAGTCTCCATTGATGTTTATTATACATAAGAAGTATACAGGACAAAAGAATGAAAAGTAAAGGACTTCTTTCTGTGCCCTAAGGGTAAGTGAGTATATCGTTCAATCCTTTATATAGACCTCCTGGCAAATTGGCATTTGATTGTGATTTCATCAGTATTGTTTGGGCTGCCTTCACATCCCAGGACATTTCCTGGTACTCCTTTAAGACTCCCAGTGTGGGTTCGGTTTTTCATTTTTTGGGGGAAAAGAATAAACCCATTCTCTTCCCCCCCCCCCAACAAGCATGTCGTAACGGGTGACTAAATAGGGGTGTATCTTTCGAAGTCAAGAGTACATCTGCCTGAGAGGCAAGGAACCATCAGTCCACATATAAAATAGACAGATCTACATAATGGATGGGCATGCACAGCTCAAGGGAGCCTCCGTGGTGTTGCTAGAGGCCTGCCTGTGGAACGGAAGGTTGTGGGTTCCAACGTGAATGGATCTGGGCTTTTTTTAAACAAATGATCTTGGATTCCAGGTTGATCCAGCCTTAAATGGGTACCAGGTAAAAGTCCTGAAAATGAAAGGTGGCTGGCGTGATGCTGACGACATCACACTCTCAATGCCAATTGGTCTATAAAATATAGGTCTAGCCCTAACTGCCCAAAACGCTTCAAGGCGTGGAAAGGGGTCCTTTGCTTTAATGCACAACTCAAGTTCTGGAACAGGGCCTAAGTCTAAAAGTGAACAAACGGCCAGAACTTTTCTGCCGGAGTAAACATGAAGAGTTTGAGACTAGGTGAACCTGGAGCCCATGTCAGTTTATAAAAAATCCCTGCCTCTGTAGAGATTTGAACACATGACCACCTTATACACATAAAATCCAGCAGACTTGTCTTCTGTCGAAAAAAAGCTGCTTACTTCAATTATGCATTGCTAGATTTGAGTTTAACTTTATGTGTAGATATACCTACGTAAAGACAGTACAAGTGTGCCTTTTTTTTTAAAAATGGCCGATTTTTTGCAAGACTCCGATGTTGTAAAAACTGTTTGCTTGAAGTATCATTTTGTGTGAAATTTTGGAAGATTGTTGCTGAGAATATTTGTTGTGAATTAAATTGTTTTGGGATCTGTGATTTAAAACCTAATAGTTTTGATTTTTTTAAATATTATGATGAGATTGTGAGCAAAAATAATTAATTTAGACATATCTTTCTGATGCAGATAAAAGGATTGTCTGATGTAGAATAATAATTAATTGATCTAGAAACTTGATTGTGTAATCTAGAAACTTGATTGTGTAATCTAGAAACTTGAGTGTGAGGTCAGGAAACTTGAATGTCTGATCAGCAAACATAATTGTTTTATATGCAATGCAACCACGATCGTCCATAATGAAATATTTATTTTCTAGCTCTTAGAATAATCAGAATGATAGATTATGAATATACAACTGAGGTTTTATTTTTTTAAACAGTGTTTTGGCAATAATTTATGTAGTTTCTCCCTCCTTGTCATTTTTAACTTTTATGATTTGTTATTTGTTTTCAGTATTTTTCTTTTTGTTCTGTTTACATTTTTATTTTAATGGTTATTTTGAAACATGTGGCTGCTGTTGTCATTCTTGATTTCATGGTTTGTTTTTAATTTGTTGCGTATGTTTACTTTAATAAACTAATTATAATGATTGTTTTTGGCCTATATTTGTTCTCTTTACCACCCTAGGCTTATTTTAACAGTTGTGTTCTACTTGTGTACCACATTTATTTAAATGACTATATTCAGTTTTGGCTTTTCTGTTTACTAGTCTTATTTAAAAGGTTATATTCATTTTAAATATTTTTTTTACCACACATTTAAAAGATTCTATTCATTTTGACTAGTCTGTTTACCACTTTTATTTAAAAGATTGTATTTACTTTGACTACTTTGTTTTAACCAATTGTATTTAAAAGATTGCTTCACTTTGACTATTCTGTTTACCACCATTATTTTCTTCAGGCTTGTTTTTTCTCATTATCCTATCTGATGTTTTCATACTGTGATGATATTACATACTAACACCAGTCACCATTCACCTTCTGCCAGGCATATTGTCTTATAAGGAAGTGATATTTCTCCACAAAGCTTTTATGTT